ATAGTCGACGAGATATGTGCCGAAGATGCCCGCTTGACCCAGACCAGACAGAGCCTTGTCGGCAATGGTAACATAGATGTCGCCTTCTGGAGCTATCTGATGGCCATAGGAAAGCATCATAACAATTGCCGCGGCGCTCCTGGCGGTTACATGGACAATGAACATAATGAGCTTCGGTGTGAGGGCTTTAAAATTGCGCCGACCTTCGCACATGATGGAACAGATCGTCCTGGCCCTCGGCCAGATTGTAAAGGAGCATGTATGTCTCACGCAGAATGACGGGTTTAAATGACGGCAAGTTGCTTGCTTTGTAATGTTGCTGAAAGACAGCGCGATGCTTGCGCCACCAAGGAGTGTACGGCATGGATGAGAAAAGCCAACTAAAGCCCATGCTGAAGGAGGATGTTAATTGGGCGATGACACTGTAGACACTTGGCATGAGCTTACAGCTCATTGACCATCGTGCGGACTGGTCGTGACGAATAATTTGTGCTTCGTTTGTCGAAGAGGTCGTTAACAGCTTCGGCAGCATTGAGGATAATCATTGGGTTGCCCAAAACGCGGATGTAGATGACATCACCTTCAAATGCGATGATGAACGCTGGACTGAGCTTCGGAAGATCGGAGCGTACCGTAAATTTCTTTCCAGCCCGCGTAGGTCAGCCATTGGTATTCCTTCGGTAGACGAGCGGTGTCGAACCACGTTGTCTTTGGGCCAGGGGGAAGCGGCGGATGACGATTCGATGGCAAGCAGTATCGGCCTACTAAAAGGACCGCAAGGAGTCCCAGAAGGGCGGCGCAAAACGGGGAGAGGGCGTCGGGGAGCAGAGTGAACATACTAAGGGGCTGGATAGTAATGTGGTCAGACCCAGGAGAATACGAGGGCACACTATTATATATCCGGTGTTTGGGAGGTGAACCATAAAGGCAGTTGGTGGGCAGATAAAGTTGAAATGCTCATATTAATGTTTGGTCTTTGGAGCATTGTCAGAGAGCGCTCAGGATTGCCAAGGATGGCCGAGCTTGCGCGCGAGGCACGCCCTCCGACCGAATGCTGGCCGAGCCCTTCCTTCGGCGGCCGCCAGAAAACCTGTTGTGCATGCGATCTTGACCCGATATGTGTAAGGAGCAAGACACGAACAAGGCGGCCATTGGGAATTTGACGGTTGCGCAGCTCACACGCACCTACTTCCCGGTCGCGCATTTTGCAGCCACGAGCAAACTGCGCGCCCAGTGATAGTAGGAGATAGGGAGTGCAAAGCACCGCGGCGACCAGTAGCTCGTCCGCTCTCACGAGGACGAACTATGCTTTCATACTCCACGGGAACTGGTCTCTCCGTGGACCACGGGCCGCAAACCAAGCTCTTCGCGCGGCTTGTGTAGTGCGGAGACGTGGGATCACGTCGCGGACAGGTACTCGCTCAGGGCCAACACCTTTCAGCGGACAGGACAGTCGCACGATGACTTTGACGTCAACCTACTGCTATTTGAAGCCAGGAACCGGCAGAAGTCGGGCAGTATGCCGTCCGGAATATGGTGGACGACGTCACGGTCGCGGAGCTCCCCTGGGACAACCCCATGGTGGCCACGTTCGAATGGCTTGATCCTGTTCAGCGGGTCCACGAAGGCCTTTGTGCGCGGTGAGCCCGAGGCACTTTCGTGCTATTGAATGCTCACTCGACGTGACGCGTTCGCGCACCGGA